CCCCCCAGTAGCTCCCTATAAATTTTAAGCACCCCCCATGCCTGGTGTCTCCTCATACACTGCAGAGAACAGCTGCAAGCTCAGAGGCTGGAAGTTACCCCAGCTGTCTCTGTGTACACCTCCTAGGGGTCCTTACCCAGGGCCGGGTCCCTCCACCCCTGAATAAAGAGATACAAAGAAGGTGACTAACCGCTCCAAATACTTTACAGTGTGCCACCTTCTGCAGTTCCCATGAAATCTCACCCCGAAATGCACCTCCCTCTTCTCCACTGCCAATCAATTGGCACCTGACCTGAGATTTACACCTGATGCTGCATTGTTCTCTTGCACTCTGCATGGGGACCTCCCACAGGCAGCCCCTGATGACCCAATGGGCCAGCTCTAGCATGGGAATACTGCACATAACCCCGTTGGTGGGCAGTTACTTTTCTGCAGCATGCCGGCAGGGGACAGGCTTTTCTAATCGGCTGTGGCTGCTTTCTAAAGAGAACCAACTGTAAGACTTTGCACACCTTTTGTTTTGATGCCCCTGGAATATATTCGCTGGTTTAAAAAAAAAAATCAGTCGGGCTTCAGAACTTTTAGACCAATGAAGGTGTCAGCAATTTTATGGAAGGAGGCCAAGGTGAGTAGGGTTGTTTTAGAAGTCTTTGTGGTTGGCCAGGTCATGGAATTACAGCATATGCTGAAAGTAGCGGACTTGTTGTACTTACTCTGAACAGTGGCGACATCTTTTTTCAGACTGATCCAAGAAGAAATTATGAAAACATTCGCAGATAGTGTCTATGTTGTCATGGCCTGCAATGGAAACATTTAGAAAGACCGGCGTTACTTAATATACGATGCAAACACTTTCTGAAGAATGCAATAGGTTAGATTATACATTTAAACAAAATACCATAGAACTGACCCTCAACTAAAGGTCTTTCGGCCAGTGCAATGTTGCCCACGGGTCCTTCCTCTTCTCCTTCAGTAGCAAGAGAAGGGGACTATGGGGCAGCACTTATGACAGCACTGAATGGTGTTCACATAATTATATGCAAGTATCTTGTGGTGCAGTAAAGCTGTGAGCTCAGGGTGCGTGTTGGCGCCAGACCATGGGTCCATGGGTCTCACGGGTGTAAGCTTGGGGGAAGTAGGTTGAATGATGCTGGTTGTCATCCAACCTATAAGACTGGGGACATGGTGGGACATAGTGGTGGGAAAATAGTACTGCAGCCAATAGCTCTGGAATTAAGGTGTGTAATGTTGGGGAGCTCACAGAACACTCGCACACGGTTTTTCATAAACCAAAAAGTCTTTATTCTTTTTCCAAAGGCAGACAACTAAGGAAGTCCAACATAAAACAGCTTGTCTTCACCATACCATATATTGGTTTACCAGTTTTCCAGTTGTGCCACACACTCAGTATCTCAGTCCTTTAAAGTTTTTCTCCTACAGCACTGCTGCTCATGCCTCAGGGCCACTGTCTGTTTCCTCCAGGCTCCCTGGCTGTTCCTGGTGTAGCTTCAACACACCACCTGCCTCGGCCCTCGTATGCCTCTAGAGCACACCACCTGCATCGGCCCTCGTATGCCTCCAGCACACACCACCTGCCTCGGCCCTCGTATGCCTCCAGCGCACAACACACACCCTCCTCTGAGCTCTGGTCTAGGCTCTTAATAAGGCTGCTCTCAGCCACCTGATCACCAGCAACACCTGACCTCAGGACTGGTGTCGGGGTTGTGTGGTGAGTTCCCACCCAGAACTCTAAGAACTCTCCATAGATCCAGATCCCAGCTACAATCCGGAAAAGCGGAACAAACTGAAAGGCCAGTTTCTTTCCTGCAAAACTAATTGCATTCTGGAACCTCTCAGTCCCTCTGGCTGAGAGTCCTGGGTGACCGTGTTGCCAGCATAATCCATGGCATTGCCACGTACTGCCACAGGTGATCATTCCTGCAAAAGCTTTTTTTCATTTTTTGGGGGCTCACTCGTCACTCTTTATGCCCTGATGAAGAGACCCTGCGTGGTCTCGAAACTTTGGCTCTTGTGATATGTGTGACGTCTATGTCCAATAAATGGACATGTTGGATTATTCTACTGAGTGCTGGTGATTCCTTTTCCTATATTGTGTCTGCACGGTGCCATCCGTGTTCATCACTACAAGCACCATTGTCTACATAGGCCTTGATTGTTGCAAGGTGTGCGGACGATTTCCCCTTCTATCCTATTTTTTCGGGGCTGACGTTTTTTTAAGATAAGATAAGCATACAAGATTCTTGTAGCAGTAAATCTCTATCATTGCTCCTTGCACTTAAAACTGAACTGAAAGTGTAACTTACACGCCATACGCTGGGTCCCATTCTCGCATGTGGTGCACTCCTCGCATGTGAAACTCCTGCCACTGAGTTGCTTAAAGTGACCAGCCGGGCACCCGCATCGAGTGTTCTTGTCCGCGGTGCAATTAGACAGCGCGATCTGACCGTATTCTGAAATAAAACATCAAATATCCATTATTCATAGCAATGAAAGTCTGCATTCACATTCGCAAATCTGCAGCAGCCTCCGTGTCCCTCCCATTAGTCAAGGCCATTGTGCAAAGCTTCTACGCCTTCCCGGCAGTGCAAACTTTTCTTCACGCCCCCATTCGCCAAGAACAATTAATATAGTGGGGTGGCTAGAGAAATGCCAACCCCACTTAAGAGCCAGTTAGGCTCCAGGTCAAGTGATTCCCTGTACTTAGTGTGCAGAGGGGAAGCCGCCGGTGCTGCATCCAGAAGATGACGGCTATCACTGTATGTAGTGTGGGCTACCACAGAGATTTTCAGCATCCCCAGCGGCCCCCCAGAGATCAGATATGGATACCTACCTCGAGCCAAGCTCAACCAATGTAAGTTTCCAAAAAGGATAATTTCTGAACCTCTGCTTTAATACATGGCAAAGGACCCCCAGAGCATTACGGGCTAGCTGAAAAGATAGCTCAGTAGACACTTCCTTAGTGTGCTCAGTGTGAGGGGAAGCAGCTGGAAGATCATGGCTATCACTGTATGCAGCATAGACTACTACAGTGATTTTCAGCATCCCTGGCGGCCCCCTGGAGTTCAGATATGGATACTTACATCGAGCCACGCTTGACCAATGTAAGTTTCCAAAAAAGATTATTTCTTGACTTGTGGTTTAAAAGAGAACATGGGGCAACCTTTTTTGCCCATAGTTCTGCTCAGGGTCAAGGGAGGACATATACCGTGACCTCTCGTGACCCAAAACCCATGATATAGTGGGCTATTGCCCGCTATTTGCTGAGAGTGCCGCAGCCAGGATGGATTCCGACAACACTGTAGAGATCCACCCAGCTGGCTGATTGACAGCTGGCTCTGCCTCTGCAGAGCCAGCTATGCCCGCCCCCCTCCCAAGTCCGTCCCTTCAGTCAGCGCTGGAGTATCAGAGAGGGGAGGAGGGAATCCCTGTGGAGAATGGTGACTGACAGTCACCGCTCTCTGCAGGGCGATGATCAGGAAGTGAGCGGACCGGTGGTAGGTTTTCGCTCACTTCCTGATCAATAGAGCCAACGTGGGACAGTTTCAATGCCACACGACGACTCTAACTATGGGAATGAGTGTAAATAACTCACCTCATAGTTCTCCTTTAATACATGACATAGGACCCCCAGAGCATTATGGGTTAGCTGAAAAGACAGCACAGTAGACACTGCCTCAGTGCGCAGTGGGGAAGCCACTGGACCTGCAGCCGGAAGATCACAGCTATCACTGTATGCAGCACAGACTGATTTTCAGCATCCCCAGCTCAACCCCCCCCCCCATCCCCCCCTCACCCCAGACATCAGATATGGATACTTACATGGAGACAAGCTCGACCAATGTAAGTTTCCCAAAAAAAAAACTTCTGTATTTCTGCTTTAATACATGACATACAGGGCACTATGGGTTAGCAGGAAACACAGCACCGCAGACACTCTCCGCTTTGAGGATGTTGAAACCTTTGGAACGAACATTCTGGTGAGGGATGAATCTCTGCACTGAATCATTCACGTGTATGTATAAGTTTTATCTTGAGCTATTGAGCTATGTAGACATCATATTTTTTTTTCAACAAAAGGGTAAATAGATTAAGGCAAAATGTTCATTTATTAATATTCTTTGCATCGGAGCCTGCAGTCTCAGAGTATTGAAACCGCGATCAGGTGGAATTATCCTTTAAATGTTAATATTGTGAAGATGAGTAGTTCGCCACTTTTACCTTCCACTGGTAAAGATAGGACACAGCTGTACTTACGTTGCAGGCAAGTGGTGCACGACAAGCAATCCTTTGAACGGTTTGGAATTTCCGTGTAGGTCCCAATGTCGCAGGGGACGCACTGCGTGGTCTGACCATCTCCGCTGCAGTCACCGGCCACCTTATAACCTAGAAGACAGAGCAAGCCATATATTACACACCAGAACATGAGAATTATCCTTACACGTTTAGCGCTTACAATCAACACCTATGTGTATCCATCATGGAGGGAGAAAAACGCCATCTTCACAGAGGAAATTAAAGAGGACCTGTCTCGTCGGAGGTGTGGCTATGGCTATGCTGTAGGCTGGTAAAATATATCATACAGTGCCATGGCCAGAAAAAAATTCCACTTTTAGAGTCATTTTTCAAATTTTTTTAATGCCTCTAAATAGCATTCTTTTGCAGCCAATGTGTCCATGCACATCGTGGAGTTTAGATCCGTATTTTAGAGCAGCGTTCAGGGGCATTTTAAATGCCCCAAACCTGCATTCAAGGAGGAGCTTATCAGTATAATTGATGCGCGTATGCGAATATCTGTGAACATTGTGGGGCGAATAATGCCAAAAACTAATATTCTAAATATATATTTTTCCTACTTCTAATGCAGTGTTGTAATAATACATTATGGCCGCTAGATGGAGTTTCCCAGTTCGAAGGTAGTGTGTTGCTGTAATAATGAAGTATGGCCACTAGGTGGAGCTGGAGTGCATAAGTAGTTTTTTTCCTGTTCACAAATGCTCAGCTGTGCTGAAGAGAAGTATCTCAGGATTGGAGCGGCGTTTGGCAGCATGGACGGCAGGAGAGGTAAGTATATGCTTCATTCTTTACAAGTGCTTCATTTATAGGCATTTCTAGTGTAGAGACAGGGTAGCTTTGTATAGTATTTCTAAAGTCAAATTTTTTTTTCATTTTAGTTTTAGATAGAATAGGGAAGGGGTAAAGCACAAGTGAACTTTTTTATTTGTCAGCCAAATTCTTTCCAGGTGCTTACTTAGCAGCCACAGCCGGAGTAGAAAAGCCGATCCCCTGCCGGCATGCTGCAGAGAAGGACCCTCGGTCTCTGTGTGGAAGCAGGGGTCTTTCTGCAGAGGTCCAGCAGGCACCCTGCTAAGTCAGGACCAGAGCTTTACAACCTGCAGGGAGCATGAGCATTGCTGATTGCACAGCTATAGGTCTGACGCAAAAAAGGGACCGCTGTATAGAGACCACTGTTTCCACACAGAGAGCAAGGGTCCTTCTCTGCAGCATGTTGGCAGGGGACCGGCTTCTCTACTCAAGCTGTGGCTGCTTTTTAGAGAAAACAAACTCTAACAAACAGCTGGTTTAAAAGAGATTTCTCTTCACTTCCTATATCCTAGAGACAACAGGAAGTGAAAAGAAAGTGAGGGAAAGATACCTTCTTGGACAGTTGTTACTTGAACAGGTGACACCATTGGAACATTTCCCCTCATCGCCTGTTTCAATTGTAAATTTTTGTTTTCCCACCACTTTCTGTCCTGGTGATGACGGGTCACTGGGACAGATAGAGACGGTGAATCTCCCCAGCAAGGACACAAACAAATCCCCCCCCCCCCCCTTAGAAACAAAAAATGGCCGGCACACAGGGCCGGATTTCCCACAAGGCCAACCAAGGCCGGGCCTCGGGTCAGCAGGCAGTAGAAGGGCAGCAAGGGTGTGGAATTCCTATCTCCCGATGCCCAGGCAGGACATGCAGTTCCGGGCGCCGGGCTGGTAGTTGTTTTCTACATTTAGCCCGGCTTTGGGCAAGCAGAGCTAAATGTACAGCGGGGAAGCCGCCACTTGTTTTGTACAAGTGATCTCGGTGATGATGCAGAGATCACTTGTATGCAGCCTGCAGGTCTACCATTCTCCATTGGGGGAAGGGGGGGGGGGGTTTGGGTAGGGGGGCACTTTGAGGAACATGGCCTTGGGGCAGCAGAGAAAGTAAATCCGGCCCTGCCGGCACACCACGGAGTCTATTCATAAAGGTTCACGCACAAGTTTCTCCATGGATTCTCACATTACTCCCAATGGAATCCAATTAGAAAAATGGAAGAAAGTAGGGATGCACAGATACTTTTCGAGTACCAGTGCAGATACTTGGCATTTTCATGAGAACTACCAGGGTTGCAGCGGTTGCAGCTGGGACCGGGCTCTTGCGCTCCTCCACTGTCCTGAAATCATTAGTCTGTATTGTTTTAGAAAAACTGTCACATGACAATAAATAAAAATGTATCAGTACTGGTACTTGTAAGTACTCGGCAAGTACCAGTACTCATACTCGCAAAACTGGTATCTGTGCATCAATTTATTTATATGTATAAAAACAATACATTAAAACAGAGATGTACAAATCCCAGGAGCTCCGTGTGCTCCTTACAAATGACAGCGGCCTCCTAACTTTTTAATTTTTCTCTAGTCTAGTCTTGGAGCTCAAAAGTATCGGTACATGTACTTGTACTTGTACCGAGTACTGTACTTGGTATCTGTGCAACCCTAGAAGAAAGCTGTGGGCATCCTGCATGAAAACCTTTATAAATAGAGCCCCCCGAAGAGTTTCTCGGATTTGCACACATGCTCATCATGTTCATGATAGACAATACGCAGGACCGGGAGGCTTTTGGCCAAGAAGAATGGACAGCTTTGCCACACGAGAAAATAAAGGACCTCATTGACAATATAACAACAGCCTGCGAGTCGTCATGGATACCAGCGCGGGTAATAGGTGATATAACATGAAGAGCGGGGTTCTTACCTGCTAGGCATTTGTTACAGCAGTAGTTGCGTTTTCTTGGCTTGTACTCGTGGTCGTTGCAGGTTGCTGTCACGTTGTCCTTCTCTGCTCTTTTCCATCTACGGGAAGATGTGTTGAAGCCGACCGGCTCGCCATGGATCAGCAGAGCGTTTGGAAGAGGGATATTCAAAGCCTGGTATGCAACGGGGAAAACCCACAAGAAGGAAACCTGGAAAATATACAAATATCTATGAAGGGGGTGTCAATGTCTTCCCAAATTACTTATATATCATATCGCCATCATGTACAGCCCATAAAACATTAAACCTCTTAGATGTTCTTGGGATTATTGGACAGGTCATCTACTGTAAAATTACATTTGGGGTTGAAGTGACACTAAACTCAGGAGTTAAATCTTAAAAATATATTCAAGAACCTGAACTATTAATAACAATGTATCTTATTTGTGTGTCACTCGGCTGTAGATCCTCCAATCATCTCTGAATTGGTGCTGACACTGTCCTTCCTTCTGGAGGGGGGCTACGTCTGTTCCCCATGGTCCCTGTGTGCGTTGTAAAGTAGTCACCGCTCCAAGCTCAAGTGATGGACTACAATCTCATGTTTAGTTTACTAATTTGTATTGAGATTGTAGTCCATCCTGGGAGCCAGCTTGGAGCGGTGACTACATTACAACATACACAGGGACCATGGGGAACACAAGTAGCCCCCCTCCAGAAGGAAGGACAGTGTCGGCACCAATTCTGAGACAATTGGAGGATCTACAGCCGAGTGATACACAAATAAGACACATTGTTGTTAATACTTAAGGTAACTTAATGTATTTTTAGGATTTAACTCCTGACTATAGTGTCACATTCAGTGGCGTCACAAGGGGGGAGGGGTGCGGCCCGCACTGGGTGACACCATCAGAGGTTGTGACACCATAATGAATCACAGTCAGTTCTGAAAAGTCAGGTACTCGGCCATGGACCGAGTGCCCAACAGCTGTACAAGAAAGGAGGGGACCTCACGGTATACCTTATGCCACCGCATAAACGTCCCCTCCTCTCTGTGCCAGTGTCCATCACTGAGATGGCCGCCGGCAGTTAACTGTGCATGACGCCAATACATTAAGTCTAAAGCAGAGGGAAAAGATCATGCGGATGAATGTCCAGGGCCCCTTGCTTATATCAATCTTTTAGATTGTATGCCCTCAGGGGAAGGGCCCTCCTTACCATATTGTCTTGAATTGTATTGTGATTGTAATGTCTTCCTTATATTGTAAAGCGCTGCGCAAACTGTTGGCGCTCTATAAATCCTCTATAATAATAATAATAATTACGGGTCCTAAGGGTGCCCACTATATAGGGGTCGGGGGATCCTTTTACTATTGCTCCTAGACATATAAGGAACTGTTTTTCCTGTCACGTATCTTCAATTCAGAGTTAACAGTGATTGATGGCCCTAGAATCATCTCCCTCACTCCAATGCTCACGGCAATATGTAACATGTGTGCCACAATTGTCGTTTATGCATGCAGTAGCACCCAATGCGTATTGGGTGTGTCAGCGGGGGTGGAGAGCTTTTAAAAAATGTTTGTGTTATTTTATTTTTATATCACTTACATTTTTTATAAGCTCCCCATGTGACAGTACAGAGAAAGTGACAGGTCCTCTTTATGGAGACACCAGGGGTCCATTAGACTCCCAAATGTCCCCTATGGACTGCACTGAAGCTGATGAAGCACAGACTGTGCTTCGCTAGCTTCTTCTCCGGCCATAGGAGGCCAGAGAAATGACAGCCTGCAAACCGGAAGTGACAAAATCATCGCCACTTCCGGGTTCTGTAACTAGAGGGGGAGAGCAGCCAGTGGAAGTGTGCTGATCTCCCTCCGATGCAGCCAGAGACACATGCCATGTCAGTCCTGGGCTTGCATGAGGGACCCAGGATGGACGTCAGTGGCGGCGGACGGCGCTGTGGCACCCTAGTCAGCAGCGTACAACTGATTGGGCGGCTCTACAGCAGTGGTGTCACATTGGAGGGGTGACACCAAAATGACTGACAGTCATTTTGGTGTTACCCCCCTCTAAAAAGTCGGGCACTCGGTCTCAAGGACCGAGAGCCCGACACTTGCTCGAGAGAGAGGAGGGGACCCGGCGGCATACCTTATCCCGCCGGGTGACGTCCCCTCCTCTCACTGCCGGCGTCCATCACCAAGATGGCCGCCGGCAGGTAACAGCGCACCGCGTGTACGTGATGACGTCACTGCGGGGTGTCACTCCTTCCCCGCACTGGGTGTCACCCCGCCTCGGGACGCCTCTGCTCTACAGCTGCCTGATCACTTGTATGTGAAAGGCGGCACCTGCTACCAATACCAAGATCACGGCTGCTGCAGTACGAGGACTCATATGCTGTATATACGCAGTGACACCAAGGAGGTCTCAGAATGTGTTGCGGGATACAGAGTTACATTTATTGTCTGTTTTATCTGTCTGGAGCTCAGCTTTAAAGGAGAACTATGAGGTGAGTGATTTTCATAGTTGGAGCCGACGTGTGACAATGAAACTGTCACACGTCAGCTCAATAGATCGGGAAGTGAGCGAACACATACCGTCGCTCGCTCACTTCTCGATCATCTCGCTGCAGAGAACGGTGACTGTCACTCACGGCTCCCTACAGGGATTCCTCTCCTCCCAGCTTCGATCCTCCAGAGCTGACTGGTGTAACGGACGCGGGAGGGGGCGGGTACAGCTGGCTCTGCTTCTAGATAGGCAGAGCCAGCTGTCAATCACGCAGCTGGGTGGATCTCGACAGTAATGTATATCGCGGACTACAGCTCGCGGTCTCAGTATACCGCGAGCTGTAGTCCGCGATATACTGAGCTTTGGTTCACGGGAGGACGCTAGTTTGTGTCCTCCCGTGACCCTGAGGAGAACTATGGGGAAAAGCCTTAACCCCATAGTTCTCCTTTAAGTAGCCTCACACAGTGCCAAGCAGAGCACCCTGCACTGATGAGATGCTAGAGGATGAAACAGATCTGGCCACGAGTGGGTGTTCAGTCTAAGGGTAAACCCGCTCAATGCTCTATCAAACCGCTGCATGAGGCATTCATAGGATGGGATGTCATGTACTTCTGGGAAAGAAACCACAAGTAGCCACTTCTTTCAAGAGCCAAATGTTTCAGTTTCCCATGAAGCGCAGCCTAGAAGTCTCTTGGCATGAAACGTATTGCTTTAGTGAAAACAATTAAAAACTGTTCTGGCAAAACAATAACATACAATACAAGGAAGTCGTCGAATAACTGCGCAGGAAATATTGTTAGTGTTTGCTGGTTTCATCTGCCAAGAGGATCTGTAATTTTGCTCCTCCAGTTCTAAAGGTTTACACAGCTCTGCCACACAGCACAGCCCTGTCTGGGAGGGCGGGAGACCTGGGTCGTCTCTGGTGCAGATAACACTTACAGTGGGATGATAATGAGGTCCGATGAACAACAAACTGAGTGGGGAAGATGCGGAGGGTTGTACTGAACACGGTGCCACCCTCATTTCTCCACAATTCATGAAAATGGTCAGATTTAGATCTCATGTGTTTGGTGGAGAGGTGACACATTTCATATAACAACCTCACTAGGACAACCAGATCAAGACACATTGACACCAAGCAGATCAGCTTGAGCTGAACGCATAAACAGGTTAGCCGGATCGGCACAAGACTCTTAATGAACCCCTGTGGTAAATGGCGGTCGTAAGTCAGAGACTCAATGCAGCCCTGACGTAAAAACCATTTAGACGCAATATGCATCTTTAGGTCTGGTTTCATATGACCTGCAACTGCACTTTCAGAGCTCATGCACACGGGCCCCTTGGGCTGTACAATGTAAAATTCGGGCATATCTCCATGCCTGGGAGTCACAGGTCCTGGGCGCAGCCACTTATAGAAATCAATGGCTGTGTGCAGCAGCTGTACATGGTATACGTTGGTACTTGCATAAACACGCGCATGCACATGAACCTACAACCTCGAATGCAGACAGCCAGTGTTCGGGGTTGTACGTCTGTGCACAAGCAAGAGTTCATGGCATGTACCAGCATACAGTCATTGATTTCTATGGGCTGTATGCAGTCCCTATGGCTTCCGGGCGCTCCAATTTAACATTGCATTACCCCAAGCGCCCATGTGTACGAGCTCTCATACATCTCTCTCAACTCCCAATTCTATTCATATTCTGTCATTTAAACTCTGAGGGAGTTACATTCATAAAGAGTGATTACAATGATATATGAGAATATCAGTAAGACACCAAACATGCCTATGCTGCAATGCCCCGCAGGTGAATGCGACACGTCACACCTTCTCAGTAAGACATACGTAAGATTCATATTGGTCTCTTTCAATTCCTGATTTCATTCTGTTCAATAATATGTTGGTCGTTGGATTGCAAAACCTTCCGTCTGGAAATGTAGTTATTATAATCAGGGGGTGTCTGGCGAGCATCATCAAATATTCTCCAGCCCCTTCACTACACCCCTCTGATCCTTTGATTGGTTACATTAATTCTGTAAACTTCCTCGACAGGGACCAGAAAAGATGGCGGCATTTGCAGCTCAGTACTTCTTGTTCCCATCAGAACTATGAAGGAGTGCTAAGGGTCATTAAAGTGAGCTGGCAATAGGGCTGCAACAACTAATCGATTATAATCGATTATGAGAATAGTCGGCAACTATTCTCATTAGGGATGCACCGATGCCGATACCAGTATCGGTGCCGATGCCTAGCCCGATACTTCTTGTATCAGGGAGCCGGCAGTGCGTCATTACACGCTGCCCGGCTTCCTGATTGGCCGGGAAGCCGGCTCCATGCTTTCTCATCACATAGTGGCGAGAAGCATGGGGACGAATTCCCGACTAATCAGGAACCAGTCATTACACGCCGCCTGGCTCCCTGAATGGGACTTCCGGTACTCGGTATTCGGTATCGGCGAGTACCAACATTTTTTTATCGGTACTCCTACTCGATACCAAAATACTGGTATCGGTGCATCCCTAGTTCTCATTATCGATTAGTTGGTTGCAGGGAGAGAGAGATTTTTTTTAATGCAACTAATCGATTAATCGAAAAAATAATCGGGCAACTAATCGATTATGAAAATAAGCCCTAGCTGGCAACTCTGATAAATCAGACAAATAAATTACTCTGTATGAAACCAAGGATCTGGCAAACTTTGTGTGG